GGTGCCTGGAATGGGCTCAGGCCTGTGGTTGCCGCGAGCATCTGGCCGGTCCCGTCTCCGGGCTTCCAGCGAGGGCCTTCCCGAGGGCGGATGGGAGGCCGAGGGGGTAAACCTGAGGGCCCCAGAGGAAACCGCCTGAGACGAAAGGGTGTTGAGGTCACACGCGCCCCCCACACCCGGCTCGCCTGCGTAAGGCCCTTGGGAGCCTGGGCTCTCACAGAGCAGGGAGCGCCTCCCCATGCGGGTGGCATGGCTGTACCCCAGGCTTGGGGAGAGCAGCCCCCCCTCTGGTGTAGGACGTGGCCTTGCAGGGAGCACGCAGCCCCCACTCCGTCGAGTGAATGAAAAGGCCGCCCAGTCAAACAGCAGCCAGGCCTGCGTCCGTCTGGAGAGCAAAGCGGCCGAGAGCGGCCGGCTCACACCGCCCTCCTGATAAACGCAGAGCCGCTGCCAACGGCTGCCCACCAAGCTCCCTTGTTGGCGGGAGAGGCGGCCGGGCGGGTGGCTGCCCGCCCGCAGGTGCAGTTCTCGTTGCCACGGCCGCCCGGTGACACCGTCCCTCTGTCCCCCTCTGACCCTCAGGGAGAAGACGGACGACACCTCCGGGGAGGACAACGATGAGAAAGAGGCCGTGGCCTCCAAAGGCCGCAAAACCGCCAACAGCCAGGGGAGGCGCAAGGGCCGCATCACCCGCTCGATGGCCAACGAGGCCAACAGCGAGGAGGCCGTCACCCCGCAGCAGAGCGCCGAGCTGGGTGAGTCTCGGGCCCGGGCAGGGCCACCGTCCCGGCGTTCACTGGGCCTGCTGTGCGACCTGGGGCGACTTCCTTAACCTCTCTGTGCACAGCGGCTGCCAGCACCCGTGGGGTGAGCGCTTCCGGGACTGTGTGCGTGGGGAGGGCCTGGGGCAGTCTCTGGGGCGTGAGGATCCCAGCGCGGAGAGGGTTCCCATAAAACTCCAGACCGGCCCTTTGGGATTTGCTGTGACGTCGGGTCTGGCTGCGCTTGACCTGCGTTTCTGCCAGGAGCAGCTGCTGGAGCGGAGTAGCCACCACCCCTTTTTAGAAGGACCCTCGTGCTGACCGCCCCCAACCTACCCTAACCCCGTAGGCCAGTGATGGCGAACCTTTTGAGCTCGGCGTGCCAGCATTTTGAAAAACCCTAACTTAACTCTGGTGCCGTGTCACATATAGACACTTTTTGATCTTTGCAACCATAGGAAAACAAAGACTCAAATTTTTGATATTTATTTTATATATTTAAATGCCATTTAACAAAGAAAAATCAACCAAAAAAATGAGTTCGCGTGTCACCTCTGACACGCGTGTCATAGGTTCGCCATCACTGCCGTAGGCGCCTGGATTCCTTCTATGGTCACTGCTGTGGCCAAAGGGCTGAGTAGCAGTTCCCAAGTTCAGCCACAAGGGGGCAGCCCGTGCGCATCTGTCGCCTGTACTTTTGGCTCTTTGGGGCCCACCCTCCTCTCCTGCCTCTGTGGGAACCCCCGGCCCTGGCCACCAGGATGCCTTCCCAGGGTGGGGGTTGAGGTGATGTTTTGTCACCGGGATCTCCGTCCGCCTCCAGGCCCAGGGTCTGCTCCAGGCACCTGCCCCGGCTTCCCGGGGCGGCCTGTGTACCTGCCACAGAGGGGCTGTTTCTGTAGAGTCATGGAGTTGGTCGGGATTCGAACCCAGCCTGGAGGTTCGGGCGGCCGCCCTCGGTGGCAGCGCGGAGCGGCCAGGGCGGGAGGACTCCTGCAGAAGTGCACCGTGTGCCCCACTTCCGGCACGGGCCCCTGGGGTGGAAAATGCAGGGGGCCGTTCCAGCTCGCCCGCCCAGGCTCAGACCTCCCTGTCCAGGCCCCGCCCTGCCTCCGTGTCCCGCCTGTAAAATGGGGCGATGGGA